GCCCAATGCTGTGGTATATCTGCAAATGTAGCTACATGAGACCTCATAAAGCTCCGGATCTGTAGATATCGAAAAAAGTGTGAGGCTGGGAGATTTAACATGTTCTTTTGTTTTGTTGTATTTGTTTTGTTTTAATGTTCTGTATTTTAAATTGTTTTATTTAAGTATCCCAGTAATGTATGTTGCATGTTTTAAATGTATTGTATTTACTTGTTTAAAATGAAATGTGTTTTAGATTGACTTTTAAAATCTGTCCAGGGAATAACTACAGATAAAAAATAGCCTCAGTCTTGTCTTCCAAAAAGTTTGTGACAAGATGTGAAGTCAACAGGTATTCACTCAGAGGGGGGTAGGTACTAAATGCCACCTATTTACATGTAGGCAAACAAAGTCAAAAATCAACATACAGTAGGGGGGTGGGGGATGGTGAACGGTATGGTCAATGTTTGTAAACACAATCCCCAGGATGTGTCCTAATCAAACCAAAATAGAAAATGCAGATATTACACTCATAAAAGAAATGGTAGACATATCAGTAGCCTACTCTTAGTGCCAAGTTGTCTCAGACAATCTGCATTTCCTAATGTGGGACAGTTCTGTGCAAAATGTGGGACACTGAAAAGTCTATGTTAAAAAGCCTCAGTCACCTTAATTCATGTAATAAAAACATCTCAGGTCAGTAACACTGAAAGCTAAATGTGCAATACCATGTTCAGCTATGTTACTATTTATAATGTTATTGTTGTTACAACAGAAAATGTTTTTCTTTATATTGAAGTTAAATGCATCAATCTGGTGCACTTTGAGGTCAAAATTAAGAGATTTATGGATACCGCTGGAAAAAGCTGCAGTACATATGCCGACTTGACTTTGACTTGTCCGTTTTATAATAGAGAAATAGATACATAATTACTAAGTATCAGATGAATGTTATGGATGTTGTTTCAACAGTTCAGGTGTTTAATAGTCTTATGGCCTGTGGGATGAAACTGTCTCTGAATCTGGTTGTTTTTGTCCGGATGCTGCGGTAACGCCTGCCAGACGGCAGCAGACAGAACAGTTTGTGGCTGGGGTGATGGGGGACTTTTATAATCCGGAGGGATTTCTTCCTGAGCCGCTGGGAGTAAAGGTCCTCCATGGATGGCAGCTCCGTCCTGGTGATGTTCTGTGCAGTTTTCACCACCCTCTGTAAAGCCTTACGATTGAGGTCGGTGCAGCTGCCGTACCAGGCCGTGATGCAGCCAGTCAGGATACTCTCTATGGTGCACCTGTAGAAGTTGCAGAGTATCCTGGAGTCCATATTGAACATCCTCAATATGAAGAATATGAAGAAGAGCCGCTGTCAAGCTTTTTTGGTGATGGTGTTAGTGTGAAGAGTCCATGTCAGGTCCTCAGTGATGTGGACACCGAGGAACCTGAAGCTGCTGACTCTCTCCACCGTAGTCCCATTGATGGCGATGGGGGCGTGTCCCTCTCTCTGCTGCTTCCTGTAATCCACAATCAGCTCCTTTGTTTTGCTGACGTTGAGATGGAGGTTGTTATCCTGGCACCAAGATGTCAGGTTTTCGACCTCCTCAGTGTACGCCGTCTCAACCGTTGCACTCGCATTTTGAACGTTTATGCCGTTGCACCGATGCGAATCGGTGAATCTTAACATCCCTAACACAAACCCATCAGAACTGCAGGTCAGACCCTGACTCCATCATCACCTCGATGGATGCTGTACCAACCTCCTTCCAAGGGTACCAAATATATCCTGGAAGAATCACGCATATACTGTATGCCAACATCCCATGTCTCAGTAATCGCCTAATACAACAACAACGGGCTCGATTTGCTGGCCAACGTCTTCACGCCAAATGAGAACTCCTTTATTATCCTATGGAAGCCCTTGAGGAGTCAAAAACTTATCATCACAGATTTTCTGGTGAACGTGTAGAAAAATACCATATCAGCCATGGTCAACCAAAAATGCTGAAGGAGATCTCCTGACTTAGGCCTCACGATGATCGTAAGAAAGCCAAGTTAGAAGTTCACAACGACATTCTGGTTCTTCCTACACTGTAAAACCTGATAAGTTAGTTCAACTCAAACTGTTTGTGGAAACTGATTGCTTCAATACATTTAAGTTTACAAACTCAAACAACTTGAGCATGAAATTAATTATTTGAATCGACTCCAAGTAAGTCTAGTATCTATTGTTATGGATACTTTGGTAAATAAAGTGTACTGTACTAAATCCATTCAGTTATTTGAACGTAAGTCTCTTAACCTGTTACGCACGGCCCCCCCCGGTACCGGGCGGATAAACGCGTCATTTGCAGGAAACAACGTCTAAGGAATCTTAATATTTAATAAACTATGAATGTTTTATATCCATGTAACGGGAAGAAACTCAGCTAACTGATCTTTTTAATTTTTTTTTCCAAAAAAAACCCCACAATGCTAACACTCAGCCTCTGAATTATCCATGAGCAAAAACATGTAACCTAAAACGGCACTTAAACTCACAATAACTCCCTTATTACTTATCCTAGATGCACAGCCAACCACTCGTTTTTGGTCTCCTGGAGACACAGAATCTGTGTAAAAAACCTCAACACTCAGTGATAAACATTTGCGACGCTATAAACGAAAGCGTACATCATAACATGTGGAGCTAGGTAGCTAGAAACGCTAACATGGCTTACCTTGGTCAAAACTGGTCTTCAATGGCATTAAAACGATAAAAAAACGATGCTGCAGTTAATCCATAGGTTCATCCAATGTATCTGTGTCCTCTTTTAAATTATTTCTGATAATCCATAAGCAATAAAACTGCTTTTTCGTTTCCAAATGCCAGAGCTAGAGATCGCTTCACTCTGCAGCACATTTACATGCGCGCAGCCCCCACCTTTTCTCTTCACAATGTGTGTGTGTGGGGGCCTCCCCCTTCGATTCTATTGGCTCTAACGGTCAGAAAGAGGTGTCAACCATCCAAATCGACCAAGGGGGGCCAGAGATATGGGAAAAAAAACATTTTCACCCAAATCACCTCAGAGGTGGGGTGGTTTTGGCTAAACCTCTCTAAAAAGGTCAAATGTCACTTGTTTTGCATCAATCTTGATACAGGGTACTTATTATATGTTGTACTTTGGATTCCTAAAGCTTTTAGTCTACTAACCCATCATCCAAGGGTAGTTTTCACTATCTGTAAAAAATAATTTTTGGACGGACACTATCATTTACAGTTTTTTACTATGTAAAATCTGAATTTTCCTTAAAATAAAAAACATTTATATTGATTCTGACACTTCTACATCCAACTCACAGATGTAACCTTGCTTTGATAAAAGAAATTATTCATATAACCCTTTTAGAAGTTAAGTTGTAGTCATTTGTTTTGGGCATGTCATTTTCAAGCCTGAAACATGAAAAACAGGCTTGGTGCTTAACAGGTTAATAATGAAACTTAAATGTTTTTATTTTTGCAAGCTTATTTAAAATGTATTAATGTAATATGTGAATTAAAGGACAGGTGTCATGGCCATTTCTACTGATCATAATTCCATTGTTGAGGTATACTAAAATAGATTTATATTGTGCAATTTTCCAAACTCACATTGGTTTCTCATACAGCATCTCTGTAAACTACGTGTATTCACTGAATTTCACTCTCTGCCTTTAACGGCTCATTGTAGCGCCAATAGCTCCAGCTCCCACCCTCCCTGTGAGCACAGTGTGCTCTGATTGGTCAGGACGTTGTGAATTGCGCTTAGCTCCATGGAGGTGTTGTTTCCTTGTTTAGGATACACAGCGAAACACAGCCAAACTCATCCTGAGCACACACAAACTCACAGCCGAAGTAAAAACAATAAGTGTGGCTTGATATTGAGTAAGAAAAAGGTTGATAAACGCTGTGAGAATGGGTCTGCAGAGAGAATTTCGCCGCGATCCCAACTGTCTGTTATCAGCCTGCAGCCAGGGAGGAGAAATCAGCAGAGCTGCCTGTGTGTGAGGAAGTCCGTGGATTGGTCAATTTGGACCAATCAGCGGGGGCTTAACGTAACGGCTCCGCGGACGTAACGTAACGGCTCCACGGATTGGTCCATTTGGTTCCGGGTACCGCATGACCGTATCGCGTCATAGCTCTGGGCGTGGCTACTGGGTATCCAGACATCACGATGCCCAGGAAGAACATGAGAAATCTCCAACGAGGCGTTTTGGGGAGGTATTTTCTGTGTTAGAGTTTTACTCGCTACAGGGTGTACTTTGAGGGTTTTGACTCTGCACACCATTTACATGCATAAAAACCTTCATAACACACAAGGGGACGGGTAATAACCGGAAAAGCATGACACCTCTCCTTTAACACTAGAACCGCCAGAGGTTTTTGTATACCTAAAACTGCCACCTGGGTCAAATTGACCCGCTATTAGAATGCATTGATTTTCAAGGTAAAATGTTCTTTTATTGAACAGTGAGTTTTGATCGCACAGGGATAAAACGTATACCAATAGAATCTGTGGACTCTCAGCTTTTCATACAGGGCTCGACATTATAAATGGCCCGCTGGCCCGGAAGCATTATTTAGACACCCCGGCCAGCATAATGTACTTTCAACTCGCCCCACAGCTGTTTGCTGCGGAGCGCAGCGCGAGCAGTCTCCCGTGAGCGGGAGCGCACTCCTTCACTACAGACTGTCTCTATCTCTCTCTATAACTATCTATCCATCTATCTATCTCTCTCAATCTATCTCTCAATCTATAAGGAACCGCAGTAGACAAAAGGCGTTGCTATAGCAACACGTCATGTTTATATGAAAAGCGGTGGGGTCAATATGACCCGCTGGGCGGAAATAGGTATAAATGGCAATTCTTTGGGCGATTTCTTCAATCTGACTTCATATTGACCATTTTTAACAACATAGGGTGCTACATAACACACTTTCAGGAAAAGTCACGGACTGGGAGACTTTAATATTTTATTGAAAAAAAGTTACATACAATCAAAAACAGCTCTGGGTCAAATTGACCCGATTGGCGGTTCTAGTGTTAAGTAACACCACCTTAAAACTAAAACTTACAACTACCCAGTTTGTTTCACTACAATTAATTATTACATTTTAGTTATGACAACTTATGACTTTATTGTGTTTACTTCATTCATTTAGGAAACTTCATTATTTCAGTGTGAAATAAATCTCAATGTTAAAACATTTTAATGTCAACATTTTTCAAAAAGAAAGAAAGTTGGAAAAACTGAGATCATTTTTAAACTTAAAAATAAGAATGGAGTGTACTAAAACACAAAGTGTAAAGACACCACCTAAACATATGCAGACATGCAATATGACATTTGCATCAGTTATTGCCACGGTATCCAATTTAAATCTGTTCTTGGCATGCAACAAAATGATAATTTTCAGAATCCGATGATCTTCACCAAAATAGTCTGACATTTTTTACCAGAGGACAACCTGAATGAACTCAAAGAAGCCAGTTCTCAGGATAGCTCAAATGGAGACCATAGATCAGTCCAAACAAAACCACCAGAGAATCTATCCAGGATCTGTGAAACATCACAGCCTGATCCTCGAGGATGATGGCCACGTGATGAGTTTCGAAGGGAACTCCTGCAGGCACCTACTCTTCATCGACCACTGCTCCCTTTTGGGTTGCCTCCATCTTATCCTAAAAAGGGAATACATAGTCAGTGTGTGATTACAATTTTACAAATCATCACGTTTATAAAAAGGCTTATTATGTCAAATTAAACATTCTTAGAAAACTGGTTTCATATTTTTCATGCAAGTATAGAAGAAATAAAAAAAAGGCAAATATGTGAGCTTATGTAAAAAGATTATTTAAAAGCTAAATGTTACTGACAGTACGAAGATCCTTCATTGAGCTTTAGAAAGGGATGTCTTTAGAGCCAATTATGGACAGGAGGAATTATTAGGACACAATAACTCTTTACACAGAGTTATGGACATGTAAGCATTGCATCAGGATAGACATGTAAGCATGCATTTGTGGATTTTAGAGCTTACAATACTTATTTTAAGATCATTATTGTCCGTGTAAAACTTTTTTTACATGGGATTTTTAATATTTGTTACAATGGAATTTGTTGTTGCTTCCTAGCATCGTGAAATCTGTATCTATGTAGCACTACACAGCTCTTAGGGCAGCCAACAGGGCACACAGTAGAAGGCAGTGACAAAATGTTTTGTTCTTCAGTGATTTATACAAAATATGACGTTTTTGAGCTATGATAATTGTAAAAGGACAATACAAAAATACCTTGCAAGTTTTGAAGATGAGTCTTCCTTGAGGTACACGGGTAGGCCATCGAGGGCTGCTGTCCTGCTCGCATTGATGAAACAAAGACAACATATGAATTGGAGGGTGTTTGTGTCTTCACATTTAATATTGAAGTAATGTGTTAAGCTTTACAAAAACAATTGTACCTGTTCATTATACACCATCTGTTAGGATGCGTGGAAAGGGTAGGACCCAAATGCAGACTACAAAAAAAAGGTAAAAAGGTCTAGAAACAAAAGCGAGCTTTATTTTAAAAGCTGAACAAAAACATGGCATGAAACACATAGGTAGCACAAAAACTGACCGTGACCAACATGGAGGGAGACAGGAGAGACAATGAACCGACAAGGCACACAGGGGAAGACAAGACTAAATATAGAGAGGGGTAATCACAAGACAAGACACAGCTGGGGTAAGGGAGGCAGAAACACAAGGGCAACAGGTGAACACAATCAGACAATCAGACACACCAGGGAAACTAACGACAGGAAGGCAAACACAGGAAGAAGGATCAGACAAGACACAAGGAGGAAAACATTTCAAAAATAAAAGGTGGAAAATGAAAACAATCCAAAACCGTGACACCATCAATCTTTAATCTTCTCACCAAGACTCCCTCTTTCTGTAAAGCTTCAGCAGCTGAGGTGTATATTAGTGCAGCAAAGAAGGAACTTCCTGTGGAATTCACTGTAGAGCTGCAATAAAAGCAAAAGCACATGTTGACAAAATACAAACTGACATCATTCATTATCACAACAGTAAGCCATGTAAGATTGTAAATGGATAAACTTATTTTCGCCAAGGCAAATAGACAAACTATAATTAACTACTGAATCAAACAGTGCTTTACAAATGTACATTCAGTGAGTTATACGTACTAAATGTACACATCGTTTTTATACAGGCATGGTGATGGGGAAATTGTGGAATATTGGCCATGGTATAGTCTATAATATTTTAATAACTGTATTTTTAATCAATGAGAAAACCCACACAATTTACATTTCCACATGCTTTCGTTGTTTAACATCAAGATAGTAAATATAAGGTTTCTTTATAATTTCAGAGAAAAAATAACGTGACTGTAAAAGCGCCAAATAGAGCCCAGTCTACCTGTTAGCTTGTTAGCTTTTATTAACGTTAGCTTACATTCAATTTCTAGAACATATGTCCAGCACAGTCTCTTTCAAATTTGGTTTAGTTGGTCGCTCCTATGTTGTAAGCTTTTAAATGAATACCATCTAATTTGAATTTTAACCGAAATTAAGACAGCTACTGGCTTCAGTAAGGAAAGCATGGGCATGCTAACGTAAGCTAACATTAGCTTTGCTTTTTGAAAATATCGCTCTCACAAAATGGTGAGGCATTAAATCAGCTGATCACAACGTTCACGGCACGCTCACCCCCGACGATCCCGAAGTACTCCACTAGCACCCCCCCCCCCGTCGGCGGCGGCGTTCACGACGCAGAGGGCTTCATCACATAACTTTACGTGTGAATGCATTGATTTACTTGAGCACCATATAATGCTCAATGAATTAAATGAAAGATTCTAAACGGCACTGAGCATTATAGCAATGTTTTTGAATTAATTATAAAATAATTAAACTCAAAGAAAATGAGTCAATGGAACAAACTGGAATCATGATAACTATACTTAAAACTCTCAATAAATGAAGTTGCACTCAAAACAACTGAGTCATAACTTAAAACATTTCTTTATGAGTTTGGTTTGTCATGGAAATGAGTCACTCCAACTTTTGGGGAGGATTAAGTTATGTTAACTTTAGGGCTGTCAAGTTAACGCGTTAATAACGCGTTAACGCAAAAAAAAATTAACGCCACTAATTATTTTAACGCGATTAACGCATGTGTATTTTTTGTCCTCGGCCGCCGTAGTTTCAGAGCGCATCGAGTTTAAAATACCATCTACAAGCTGATGCTGACAGCTCCGCTCCTCCTGCCCGAAGTGTGGCAGACCACACTTCCACGCTCACTGGCAGGCCCGGACTGGCCATCGGGAGGACCGGGAGGGAGTGTGTATGTGTGGTGCGACTCGCGCGAGCGAGGCACACCTTACGTGTTGTTGTTGTTAGCATCTGGGGCTAGCTAGCTAGCTGCGCTAACGGATATAAGGAGCTGTTTCAATGACATTTCGCCGACAACTGCGCCGAGCACTTGACTTTATGCAGGTAGCCAGACAGTGGGACATTGTACGAAAAGTCAGCGCACTCAGCACGGATAGTACGCGCAACATGATTGCAGCGTCCAGGCAGCTCCCATTCGAGCATATATGCCTTGAGCTGCACATAGCTCCAACGCTCCATCACAGTGTCCACACACACACACACACACACACACACACACACACACACACACACACACACACACACCACACACACACACACACACACACACACACACACACACACACACACACACACACACACACACACACACACACACACACACACACACACACAGTATGAGAGAGGTTCCAGGTTGTTGTGTTTAATATTCATGAGAATATTTGTCATTGTTCAAATGATAATAAACAAACATATAAAGCATATGTGTCCACTCATATGTTGATAAGAGTATTAAAAACTTGAAAGATATCCCTCTAAAGGTACATTTAGAACAGATAAAAAATGTGCGATTAATTTGCGATTAATCGCGATTAACTATGGACAATCATGCGATTAATCGCGATTAAATATTTTAATCGACTGACAGCCCTAGTTAACTTACTTCCTTTATTAAGTAGTACTGTTAGGTTTTACAGTGACACTCCAACAAATAATTTCTTGGATTTACTTAACCTGTTAAACCCGAGAGGACCCTAATCCGGGTCTGGCGGGTAGTTCTTTCACAAAACTGTGTCTCAGGGCTTCTTAATATTTAAAAACCTATTAATGTGTCATACTCACTTAACGGTTAGAAACTCAGCTAACTGAAGATATGAACCATTTTTACCAAAACAAAGCACAAGTCTCACAAGAAGCGTCTAAATGAGCCCTGAGCGAAAAAATGCTAACGCACTTAGCACAGAACTCACAGATTTACTTCCATACCATAATTCTCTTCAGCTTGACATCTTGCAATAGGGTTAAATGTAGAAAATTGTTATTACAGAAAGTATTTGTACCTCTACAACCAGGGTATATGCAACTATTAAGACTAACACTGCACAATTGCATGCATTGTAAAGCTACCTACTATAAATAATGGACTATTGAGCGCCTCAGTAATTACCAAATAGTTGGAGGCTTTTCATCATTTCCACCGCAACATGCATTCTCTTGACTGCAAACCATCTCTTGGACTATGATAGATAACGACAGCTTTCTCTATGGAAGATCAGCTGAAATAATTTCAGAACTTCAAAATCCATTAACATGGAGTGGTTGTATTTATCCTGATGTGAAATCGCAGCTACTCTATCAACTCTTACATTTTTACGACGGGGCTCCCTTTCATAATCTCTGCTCTGCTTTAATGTGTTGCCCTAATCAGCCTTAAATTGTCATCTCGGTTTGATTTAACTCGGCCATAATGAGAAATCTGCTTTTAGAATGGCAGTGGGCATCCATTTATCTTTTCCATCTCTGTTTAACGTGGCCTCTCAACATCTCCTGAAAGACCATCCAAATTGAAGTTGGAGGAAGGGATTGGATTTTGTGATGACAAAACATAGATATTTTTTTATCATTCGTATTGTAGGCTTTCAAAGAGTGGGGAGAGTATTAGAAAAGTTTAATTCAAACAGGTTCTTTGAATCAGATCACTAATGGGCTTTGGTCAAATATATTTATAGTTTTTGAGACAGTGTTGATGTGATAGAAGCACAGAGTGAGGGCAGAGTCTAAATGGATGATTTGCACAGGGAAAGGGTTCTTTGTGTTCACCAAGCATCACTCAACTCCATTTCCCACATGTCTACAAGCGATTATCGGAGAATAAAGGTAAAATGAAAGCGGACCTATTTCCATTTAGGCTGTGTTTGGTTGGTGACATGTTTGTTAGGCCTTTGTTGTGTTGGAATGGGTATACACCACAGAGTCCTAGGGTAGAATAGTGCTTTGGATCTGTACGGTTTCTCTCACGTGAACAACATGAGAGAAACTGCAAAAAGTAGCCTTTTTTCTGTTGTTGTCTCACCTTTTTCTGCCTGCTTGAATGTCAGTCATGTAACTGTGGAGTGATTTCCACTAAGATTAGGTGTGCCCTGTGTGCAGGTGCCTGTATTTCCTACTTCGTAAATGTATGCAAAAGAAAGAGCAATTTGCATGATTATTTTCTTTAAACTTGCATATTGTGTTTTTGGTCTCATACAGGTACAACTAAAACTTCTTCTGTTTTAGAATCAGCAGAAACCAACACCACATGTAAAAATCACTGTATTATTACTTTTTTGTGTTAATATTTATCAGGTGGTTTTCAAAACGTGTTGACTTATTAATAATAAATAACAAGTTCTATTTTTATAGCGCTTTTCTAGGACTTCTTATTTTTCTAGTTTTATGGCGTACTGCAAACCAACGTTTAAGGTGCATGTCACCAACTACTAAAACTGATTGTTTACCATCATCACGGATAAAAAAACAACAATATTCTGGATATTAAACCTGTATTTTTTCAATACAGTATTTCAATAATTTTTCTAGGAATCAAAGTCGCTTGACTTTAAGTCTGGGACTTGTAATTGATGATTTCAGTTGTTTTGTTATTGACTACAAAAATAATGAATTAAACATATGAGTTGTGAAATGTTTTTTCTAAATAGCAACAAGGGACACAAATAACATAAATGAAAAATGAGCTGCTCTGTGATCTGAAATGATATCCATACTTTGTTTTTCTCTGTTATTGTATTTGATAAAAGTGTATACAGATAATCGTAGATGGATGGGTGAATAATTAATTCAATATCAAGGATTTTAATCTTTTTTTAATTTAAATTTTTGTAATCGTTTATTTGGCAGGGACATTGCACATTAATGAACACTTAAAACAAAAATGCGTCAAGCGTAAATATGCCGGATTTTAGCTTTGAGCTACTTTCCATCCGCAGTCCCTCCCATAAAACATTTAAGAACATGACATTTACAAACATAGCAAAAACAAATATATGATATGCAAAAAGTGCAAAAGAGCAAGAGCAGCATACACAAGTATTTATCACATGGCAATACAATATAGCAAGTGCAAGAGAAGATACAAGAGCTACATAAAGCGCAAGAGGAGATTCTCCTGTATTAAAGTGCATTTAGCGGTGATTGCACGTCTGTTTGTTTCTCAACCATTCTTTGAGTTGACCTTTAAAACTATTGAGA